ATATCCTATTGGTTAGTCAGGTCAGCTATAGTTAGTGTGGGAGAGGACTACACAAGGCTGTCAACACCAGGAAGTCAAGATTATTGTGGGCCATGCTGGAGGCTGGCTACTACACATGGATTTTCAATCAGCAGAAAGTAATTCTTAGTATTTGCCAATGATTCTTTAAATCTCTGCTATATGTATAATTGGCCCTCTTCACAATCCTAAAATTGTTGATGTGTGATTTCTTTTTGTATCTCTGTTTCTGGATGAACGTGTCAGAGATTTGTCTATTTTAAAGAAGTTTCTGGATTCTTTGACAGTCTCTAATGTATGGTTGTTTTATATGTAATTGCCTTGTTATTTTCTCTATTTTTTTCCCTTCTACTTTCTTTGAGTTTGCTCTGTATTATTTTTAAGTTCTTGAATCTAATCACTATTTTTAATCCTTCTTTATTTCTAAAGTATGTATTTAGGTTATACATTTCCCTGTGAATATTGTTTTTAGCTGCATCCCATAAACTTTGATATGCAATGTTTTCATTTTCTCTCAGCTCTGAATATTTTCTGGTATCCACTGAAATTTCTTTTGAAGCCTATGAATTAATTTAGAAGTATTTTTTCTTTATTTAATTTCTAAATATGTGGAGGTTTGTGATTATCTTGTTATTGGTTCCTAATATCATTGTACTTTCATCAGAAAAAAATGATTTTTATGAGTCCTTATGATTATTATGAGTCTTTGGTACTTGTTTGTATTTGTTTTGTGGCCTAGTATATGGTCATTTTGTATATATTCCATGTAAGTTTGAAAAGAATATGTATTTTCTAATTGTTGGATGCTAGGTTTATTAGATCAAGCTTATCAATTGTTTAAATCTTCTACTTCCCTAACAATATTTTATGTGTTTGTTTTATCAGTAAACTTAGATGTGTTAAAAAATTTTTTCTCTTTCTGATGGTGATGGATTTGTGCATTTCCTCTTAAAAATCTACCAAGTTTTGCATTATATATTTTGAAGTTATATTGTTAGAAGCAAACCACGTTATATATTTCTGGTGAATTGTTTCTTCTATTTTTGTGTGATGACCATGTTTATCCCTAATAATGCTTTCTGCTTTAAGTCCAATTTTGTCTGACATTAATGTAATGGTACCAGCTTTCTTTTGGTTAGTGTTTACCCACTATGTCTATTTCTGTCCCTTTGTTTCCCATATTTATGTATCATTATGTTTTAAATATGTCTCTTGCAAACAATGTATAGTTGCATTTGTTTTGTGTTTTTCTCTAATGTGACATTCTCTGTCTTCTAAATGGAAATTTTTTTTTTTTTTTTTTGGTGAGGAAGATGAGCCCTGTGCTAACATCTGCCAATCTTCCTCTTTTTTTTGCTGAGGAAGACTGGCCCTGGGCTAACATCCGTGCCTATCTTCCTCCACTTTATATGGACGCCGCCATAGCATGGCTTGCCAAGCGGTGTGTTGGTGCACGCCTGAGATCTGAACTGGCGAACCCCGGGCTGCCGCAGCGGGGCACGCGCACTTAACCACTTGCGCCACTGGGCCGGCCCCTAAATAGAAAATTTTGATCGTTTACATTTACCCCAATCACTAATATATTGGAAGTATTCCTACCATATTATATGGTATTTGCTGTTTGCCTTTTTTTGTGTGTGCTTATTTTTACCCCTTTTCTGGCCTTAATAAAGTTTTCTATATTCCCTTTTCTTTCTTTCAATGTGCATTTTTAAATTAATAAACATTTTAGGTTAAAAAGTTAATCAATATCTCTACTCTCCTCACAAACAAATAAGGACTTTAGAATACTTTAACTCTGATCATTTCCTCCCATCTTACATGATATTATTCTCCAGTATTTTAGTTCCATGCTGTTTTCACACACTTCAAATTAGTTCAAGCATGGCCCCGTCCAAATGCTCAAATGACTAAAATACTAAAACAGAGACCCCCAAAGCAGTGGTTCAAACAAGAGAGAAGTATATTTCTTTCTCATGGAACGGTCCAGAAGCAGGTAGGTGGTCCAAGGCTGCTAGGGAGCTCCATCCCGTGAGGTCATCCAAGACAGGCTTCTTCCAACTTGTTCTTTTACCCTCCCCTAACCAGGGTTAAATCATGGCACCAGAATGTTCTTAACCACCACCTCATAGTCATCTTAACCACCCAGATGATAACTCACCTCTACCATGACCACATTCTACTCTACGGGAAGGGAGAAAGATGACGTTGAACACAAGCAACTTCTTTTAAGGAAGTGACCTAGAAGTACATATGATCTCTTTTTGCTGCAAAGGAGGTTGGGAAATGTAGTCTCTGCATGGGTGAGCAAGAGCCCAACTAAAATTTGGAGGCTTCTGTTACTAAAGGGAAGAAGGGAAGAGGGGGTGTTGGGGAACAAATTGCTGTCTTCCATAGACATCATCAGAATCCTGAGTCCTCTGTGTTTTCTCTGTGTTTGCTTCAACCTTAGGCAGCCGCCCCTCAGTGATGGCAAAGGTGGTCACTAACAACAATAGCCTCATTGTCTCCCATTTTAGCAATTCTAGTAAAAAATGAGAGTGGCTCTTTACAAATAGTTGCAGCTAAAGTCTAGGATTTCCTCTTATTGGTCCAATGTGGATCACGTGCCTATCACTAAACTAGTTGCTTTGGCCAGGGGGATGCAATGCCATAGTAAACAGGTATGGGTCACATACTCATCCCTGGAAAGTGGATTGAGTAGACTTAACTCCACCCAAACCATATGGACAGAAAGTAGGAAAGGAATGGTTCCCAAAAGTCACCTAATGAGGTGCTATTATCCTCAGAATGGGTGCTGAAGAAGCCACATAACAGGTAACCATTAGACTTGTCTATCCCATCAGGTCAGAATGGTTCAAGGAGGTTGTATGACTGAATGTCTTTTAAAAATCCAAATGAATGAAGGTGGAAGGTGATATTGATGATGAAGTTGCCTGGAACACTCTCTCTTACCCTTCTGCTAGGAGAGCTCCTACTCATCTCTTATTAGTCATTCATTCAGCACCCTGTGAATGAACTTCTGCTATGCTGACCACATTGTTTGCTAATTATTTATGTGTCTGTCTCTCAGTCCTCCCATAACACATTCCTCTGACTGAGGGCTCCCCCAGAGCTAGAATCCATCTGTGGTCCATGGTGCCCAAGGCACAGAGGGAGCATCAGGAGACTAGACTTGCTAAATGAAAGAAGAGTCAAGTTTCAATGACTCTCAGTCCCCCTCCCTCCAATTTCTGGTCCCTCTTTTCACCTTTGTAAATCATTATTGGAAAGACATCAGCCAAATCCCGGGGAGCTCTGCAGAATTTGGGGGAGGAAGGATCAGACCAGATTATGTTGTTTATAGAAATGTACCTCCTAATGACTGGAAAACAGTGCCAGGCATCATTTTATTTGTGGAACTCAAATCAAATCACCAAGAGGCAGACTCAACTAGGAGGAAGTTCAGCAGATAATTGACTAATCAGAGCTGTCTTCTCATCCTGTTTGATCCTAAGGTTAGGGGAAAAAAAAAAAAAAAACAACCCAGCTGTGTTTTGCAATCAATTCCCAATCTAAACACATAAATAATTTTCTCCCCCAGAAACACCGATGCCCCCAGCTTAACTGATGCTGAAAACTCTGCCTATATTGTAGAAAAACAGAGCTGAAGGCCAGCATCTGGGGCAGGGAGTGGAGGACAGTGCAGGAGACATAAACGGAGGGATATCAAGGAGACACCAAAAGGTACTTCGAAGAACAAGAGGTCTTTCTGGAGAAGGTGTCCGCGTGGCTGGTCTGCTTGGGAAGCTCCACCTATGGGTTTCCTGGGTAGGTCCTTTGAATACTAATAGCTATCATTTATTGAGCCATTGCAATATGCCAGATGTTGCAGTAAGTGCTTTTAGTGCATTATCTTGTTTTAATTCTCAGAAAAACCTTGCAAGTTGAGAATTGGTACCCCCATTCATAGATGAAACTAAAGGTCAGAAAGTTGCAGTGATGTGCCCATGGTCACATAGCTAAGGAGTGCAAAGGCAGGAATTTGAATCCTTGCAGATCTGTTTTGACTCAAAGCTTCTGCTCTGAGTCCTTAACTATCTTCACAAAACCACTTTGAGGTAGCTATTATTTCCTTCATTCTACAGATGAGGAGACTAAGTCCCAGGAATGGCCCAACTTGCTCAAGCATCAGAGCCAAATCGGGTCTGCCTGACTCCAAAATCTATTCTGCCTCCCAGGTAGAGGAAGAGCAAAAGCCAGGGGGGCAGGGACACGTCAGAAAGTCGCTGCATATCAGGCCCTACCCTTTCCTTAGGACACTGTCTGCCTGTTTCCCACTCACCCCCCACTTCCCCCACTTAGGCCCATTTCAAGCATCTTCTTTTCACTGCCTCTCTCCCAGTGTAGCCCCTCGGCTGAACAGGGACTGAGTGGTTCTTGGGAGGCTCTAAGACACCCCTTTCCTCCCAAGGGTGTCCTAGGAAAGGAACAGCCAGGGAACCACCAGCCTGGAGGCTCCCATCCCCACACATCTGAGCAAGGCCTGTGCATAAGACTCGCAAGTGCTTGGATCGGGAGCCAGCCAACCCTGGTTCAAATCCAGCCCAGTGACTTTCACCAATAACAGTCGCTCCCTTTTTAAAAAGCATCTACTCTAGGACAGACATTTCACTAGGGGTTTCCTCCATATTTTTTGTTTAATCCCCTCCACTCCCCATGATTGACCCTATCTTACAAACGGGGAGCCTGAGGCTCCCGGACAGGAAGCAACCAGCAAGTCTTCAAGAGCCTGGGACTCGAACCCACCTAGGCCCCAGATTCTGCTGTTGCCTAGGAGCGGAGGAGGGAGGAGCAGCCAGAGCGGAGGGAGGAGGGGAAAAAGAGACGGCGAGCTCCCGGCAGCGCGCGCTGACGACAGCAGGTGATTTTTTTTTGCAGCGCGCTTTCTCTCGGCATCTTTCCTGGATTTTTTTTTTTTTCCTGCTGAGCGGCAGAAAAGGGTGGGGCCGCTTCCCTGCAGTAGAGACGGCGGCAGCAGCGGCTGCAGCATCATTAGGAGCAGCGGCGGCGGCAGCAATGCTCCGTCTCCGCTGGAGGTGATCGCCTCCAAGCCCTGCTAGGTGGCCGGCTGCGACGGGACGCCAGCGGGAAGGAGAATAGAGCTTCGTCCACGGACTCTGCGGCCACACTGCCTGGCCCTGCCTCTGCGCCATGGCTTAAGCCCGCAGCCACCTCGCCTCGCGTCGCCTCGCTCGGCCGGGGTCTGCGCGCCGCCGCAGCCGCAGAGAGGGGCGCGTCCCAGACGCCCTCGCCTGGGGACTTGGAGACGCGGTGTCTCTTACCCTTCGGTGCCCGCAGCAGACTGCGCTCCCAAGACCTTCGCAGGCGGCTCCCGGAGGCATTTGCAGCCGGTAATTGAGGGACTTAATAGACTTTATTTTAGTGATAGCTTTCCCTGCCCGACCTTCCCTGTGCTCTCTGAGGGAGGAAGGCGAGGTAGCTCAGGCTACCAAAGTGAAAACGGTGGGAAACAGATTGGCTGGTCGAGGGCCAGAGGACTGAAGGAAGATTAGAGACTTGCTTTAGAACCACAAAAAGAAAGAACTAGCAGCTAGCATCATGGCGTGGCCGTGCATCACACGGGCCTGCTGTATTGCTCGCTTCTGGAACCAGCTGGACAAGGCAGACATCGCCGTGCCGCTGGTTTTCACCAAGTACTCGGAGGCCACCGAGCACCCGGGGGCCCCGCCGCAGCCGCCACCGCCGCAACAGCAGCCGGCGCAGCCGGCGCGCGCGGTCGCCATAGAGACGCAGCCGGCCCAGGGCGAGTTGGATGCAGTTGCCCGGGCAACAGGGCCGGCGCCTGGGCCTAGCGGGGAACGTGAGGCGGCGGCCGCCCCAGGCCGGAGCGTGCCGGGCCCGGGCCCGGGCTCCGGCTCCGCGTCCGGCGCGGGTCCCGCGGACTCGGTGATGCGGCAGGACTACCGCGCCTGGAAGGTGCAGCGGCCCGAGCCGAGCTGCCGGCCGCGCAGCGAGTACCAGCCTTCCGACGCGCCCTTCGAGCGCGAGACCCAGTACCAGAAGGACTTCCGCGCCTGGCCGCTGCCGCGCCGCGGGGACCACCCGTGGATCCCTAAGCCCGTGCAGATCGCCACGTCCTCCCAGGCGTCGGCGCCCATTCTCGGGGCGCCCAAGCGCCGGCCGCAGAGCCAGGAGCGCTGGCCGGTGCAGGCCCCCGCTGAGGCCCTGGAGCAGGAGGCGGCCCCTGGAGGAGCAGGTGGCCTTGCGGCCGGAAAGGCTTCCGGTGCGGAGGAGCGCGACACACGCAGGAAGCCCGGGCCCGCCTGGATGCTGCGTCGCGCCGAGGGGCTGGGACTCGAGCAGTCGCCGCTGCCCGCAGCCCAGGCCCAGGTCCAGGCCGCAGGCCCCGAGGGTGGCAAGGGGCGTGCAGTGGCGGACGCCCTCAACAGGCAGATCCGCGAGGAGGTGGCGAGTGCAGTGAGCAGCTCCTACAGGTGAGACGCGGGCCGCAGCTCACGCGATGGGGCTGGCCACCCTTACCCTCTCCCACAGACTGCCCAGGGCTCCTTCTCCCCATCACAGGCTTCACACTCAGTCTTCCGCTTCCATCCCAGACCACACCCTCGCCCCAGCCCCATCCCCGACAACCTCCCATGGCCGACTTCTCTTTTGCTCTTTCGCCTGTGAAAGCTGTATTATCCACCCCAGCTGGCCCAGGTCTTTCATTTTACCGCTTCAGCCACCTTTCCCCCATTCCCGCCCCACCTCAAATCCCTGCCTGCTCAACAGAGACTCTTTGCAATGTCTTCACAGGCTGTGCTTCCATTCTGCCCCACCCAACTCACCATCTGCGTTAGCCTGGATGCTGCCCCTTGCTGGCTCAGCTGCCGCCCTAGGGCCTTGGTGTCTTCCGGCAGGGCCCCAGAAAGAAGAGTGACCTCTCCGCCTCCTCCCTAGCCCAGTTCGCTCGGCTTTTCATTCTCCCCTGTCCTCTCTCAGTCCCTGGGAGACACCCAAGCACCACACCCTTTTCTAGATTCCCTGCAGGAGCCTTATAGATCACCCTCCTCCTTCAACCACTCAGGCTTGGAAGTCAGATTCTTTATGCTTCTTACTAGCTCTGACACATTGGGCAAGTTTCTTAACCTTTCTGGGCCTCAGGTTCTTATCTGTGAGATGTGATTGATAATAGATTCTTCTCTTAGAATTGTTCACCCGTGGGCCGGCCCCGTGGCTTGGTGGTTAAGTGAGCGCGCTCCACTGCTGGCGACCCGGGTTCGGATCCCGGGCTCGCACCGACGCACTGCTTCTCAGGCCATGCTGAGGCCGCGTCCCACATACAGCAACTAGAAGGATGTGCAGCTATGACACACAACTATCTACTGGGGCTTTGGGGGGAAAAATAAATAAATAAAAATCTTTAAAAAAAAAAAAAAGAAAGAAAATTGTTCACCCATTTGTCGATTTAATATTAAATATTCAACATAGTTTTGAGCACTGTGCTAGACATCGTGAAGATGAAATGAGATGATTCAGGAGGAGAATTGTGCCTGGCACGTAGTAGGTGATTAGTACGTCTTGGTTCCCTTCGGACCTTCTACGTGTTGCCTCATTATTCTGATTTCCACTTCCTGGATACCTCCAGCCTTCTCCTCTATTGATGCATCTCTTTTCTCCTTCCCTTCTTGTTTTCCAGATGTGTTTCTCCTTCTCTTACCACCAAGAACCTCCTCTTTAGCACATTTAAATCCCTTGTAAATAAATGCCTTTTAGCAAGAGCATATTCATTCTCTCTTTCTCTCTCTCTCTCCTTCTAGAATTCTCCCTCTGCTGAAGCCTCCAGCTTGCTTTCTCATCCTTCATCCATCCAGTATATATTTCTGAATGCTTAGCTTTCAGTCCTGCCCTTATGTTTCAAACCAAATCAATCAGCTAACAGATCACAGTTGACTCTGAACATGTACATTGGGCTTGGGGTCTCTGGGGAAGCAGATGGACATGATGAATAACTGGGCTAGAGGTGTTCAAAACGTGGCTTGTGGGGCCCTTCATCAATGCCACAGCCAATTGCCTTTTTCCTGCAGGAGGGTGTGGCCTGGAGGACTGCAGAGTTAGTGTCTTTTGCCAAGACCCTATATGTAGCCTCATGTCACAGTGATGTCCTTCTCCAGTGAACATGACAAACACTCTCCGATATGCTGAGGAAGGAATGGCATAGATAGACATCCTCTCTTGTTAAGACAAAATCTGCCCCCCACCCGGGATTTTAACTCTGGAAAGCGTTTCCCAGTGAGAGGCAGCAGCTAATCAATTGGCCCCTACTCCTTCTTCCTGAATTCCACCTCCCACTTGGCATTTCTGCCTTGGTTTATTGTTATCATGACCACACTGGTCCCCCAGGAATACACCACTTCCTTTTAAAGCTCTGGGTCAGGCAAGAGCACAGATCCTTTTCCTTGGTTCCTGGCGATGAGGAGGTGGAATTTTCACAGTATCTTTATGCTGCTACCAAGGGAGGATCAAAAAGAAAAGAAAGGAAGCAAACAAGCAAGAAGCATAAAAAACAAAGCCAAGATATAGTTTTGTGATTCTGCCATAGCTTTCTTGTTATCCAGGCCCTACTTCGTTCCCGAGAACCCTAAGGTTGGCCCAACCTCACAGACTCCTGGCCTGGCATCTTCATCTTCCTACTCCCATTCTATTACCCTGTGGCAGGTGGACCCTGACCTACCAGCAGAATCTACCTCTCCTCACCTCCATACGGTCAATGCCAATCCAGGAGATCTCAAATCTCCTTTGGTGAGCCTACTCAATTTATGTATCCAAGTTGGTAGGACTTGCTTTGTCCATGGATGATTGGCCAGACAGTCCAGGAATAACCCACCCTTCAGATACAACTCACTCCAAATATTTTGGGTTGTACCTTTGTTATATATAGCCTCTTCCCCCCAAACAACACTTTGTGCAGTAAGCATGTTCTGCTTTACAGTTAGAATCACACACGTACTACAAGTGATTGGGTTAAATGGGGGGAGGCTATGCTCTCGCAGCTGGTGAGAATGATTATTTTTAGTGGCTCTCAGACCTCCATCAACCTGTCAAGAAAAAATCTCTGAGTACCTCAAAAAAATTTTTTTTCTAATTTGGGTCTTCTGTAAAATTTAATTATGGATATGACTTTGGGGCCAGCAATTCCATTTTGCTGTATAATCAGAAGGGTTTTGAAACATTAAGAGAATGAGTGTTGCTAAGAGACATCAATTTCTTTGATGGACAATTTAAGTGCATGCCAAATTTGATATGAAATTTAACATTATTTTTGTCCCAGAAGAAAAATTAACCATTAATAGGGAAATGCACTTTGGGTGAAAGTAGATACGAAGAAATAAGATAATCAATTAATCAAATATATTATAAAGAAAAATGCCTGGAAATTATAGGCTTATCTGGAACGTTGATTTTCCTTCTCTATTGTCTCACATTCTTTTCCTTGCTATGATTCTAAATATCTCCTGAATTTAAGTATGCTCCATGTCTGCTGTAGATGAGCCTTATAGGCCTTAGAAGCCAAGTTGGGCTCCATTTCAATGATAATTTGATTTACAAACCCTTTTCTTCTGCCACTCTACATAAATCATGGTGATTTACACTATGGTGACTGGTTTATCTCATGAGCTTTCCAAATGACATCTGTCACATGACATCAGTGTGAGCAGTTTGCTTAAATAAAGGACACATAATCCATCAGCTTAATGTATTGATATATGTAAAAATGTAAAATATTCTTTCAGCATCCGGAGTCATACACATGCTAATTGGTTTTCCCTACAATATACAGTCAGTAGATAACATCAAATGTCCTTTGACACTGTGGCTTTGAGAAACCTTCCTTTTTCAACAGTTCATCTAATTCATAACCTATTCACACTAGCCTGGGATTTTTGCATTCAAGTGGTATCTGAGGTATCTCTAGAATTATTCACAATCATGAAGTTGATTAATTTTTAATATATTCATATTACATAGATGATATTATAAAATTGAGGAGCATGTCTTTGTTATCATTTTTAATATTAAGTATGAATTTCACTGGGCAGCCATTTGTGACTTTAGAGCTAGCATTCTCAATTAGAAAATAGATGAGTCATAGGGAGGGGATTAAAATTCCTCCCTCAGTCAACCCCATTGCCCTAGCCCTCAGTTAATAGGGATAGATGGGGTAGCAGGTGCTCCCCATAGAAATGCTAATGAGAAACTTTTCCTGGAAGAAATCAGCTGAGGCACCAGGAGGTAGAATTAATAAACCAGAGGTAAAATATTTGAAAAATGAGAGCAGTAACAAGGAAATCAGACAGAAAAGGGGCCTTTAATATCTTCTGTACACTCTTCCGTGAAGGTTAGAGAAAGGCCCCTCGGACTTGGCTTATGCTGTGCAGAACTGCCCTCTGCCCATAGGGCAACTGCACATTTCCCTAATTTCTTCCTGGGTAGGTCCCAGCAATTTCAAGACCAATCTCAGATACTGAAGCTTCAACGATGCCTTCCTAGGTCTTGCCATTCAGAATTAATTTTTCTTTTATTTCCTTTTTACATTCTGTACACTTCTCATTGTCTGCTTGACTGTAAGATACTGTGTCTGTATCTGCCTCCCTCATCAGATCGTGAACACTTGGAGAGAAGGGCTGTGTTTTGTTCATCCCTATACCTCTCACAGTGCAACATTATGCCTAGGTGCCATAGGGGTATGTTGAATCCAATGGAATTTTTAGAGTTTGATGAAAATTTTATTCACCTACATATCGATTCATTTCATTCAGTCTCATTTAGTTGAATTTATTTCAGAAAATGACCACCAAGTGCCTGCTTTTTATCAGACAGGATGCTGGGGACAGAAAATGAATAAGTTATAACCCTTATGTAAGGAAATGTCATCCTTAATCAAGATAAGTCCAAATCCTACTAGGTTAGCACTAGAAGTAAATGTTCAAATGGGGAGGGGCACAGACCTTACAGACCTGACTCTAGGTGCACCCTCATCCAGGGCAGTGGTCCTCAGCCTCACCTGCACATTGGAATCACTGGAGAACATTAAAAATGCTGATGCTAGGGGCCTTGCCCAGAAATTCTGATTTAATTGGTCTGGGCTGTGGCCTAGGATCTGAATTTTTAAAAACTGTCCCAGGTAATTCTTCTGTGCAATTCAGGTTATGACCTACTTCCCTAAGGCAAAGCTTTCAAAATTTAGTACACAAAAGAATCACTGGGAGAGCTTTCCAAAATGCAGGTTCCTGGGCCTCATCCTCAGATCCTGATTCAGCAGGTTTAAAATGGAGCCTTAGAATTTACATTTTAACAAGCACTCAGGTATTTTGATGCAGGTGAGCTTCAGGCTTTACTTGGGAAACATTACTTGAAGAGATTTGCTATCTTTAAGGTATTGAGTTTTCCCATATACAAACATGGTATCACTTGCCATCTATTTAAGTCTTTTATG